CTGCCACCTGCACTCTCTAACCCCTGTTCCCACAGGAAATGTGGCTCTAACCCACACTGAGCTTCAGACTAAGCAAAAAATTTAAAATAAAGGCCTTTTCCCACCATGGCTCTGACCCTAATTCCAGTGAAAAATCCTTTGAAGCTCCATGGGGAATGGGAAGGTGAGAGGGAAATCCCCATGGATCAAAGCTGTGACTTTGCTGTCTGTCCTTCTCTCCGTGGTTTGGATCTTGGCAGAAATTACAGGGAAGAAAATTAAGAGTTTAACAAAGCATGACCTGGTGGTCTTGGATTTCTGGGAATTCCAACAGCATTGTATCCCATTTTAAGACAGGAAAAAAAAAACTACAGGAAATCCATGATCCGTTTGCTAAAAATTAGTTGTTTTTTTTTTTCTTTTAAGCAAAGCACCAAAGATAAGGAGTCCATAGTACCTGAGTAAAGATTTTCCTGGGTTTTTGGGAGAGGAGAAATGAGGAACAAGGAGAGTGACCCGTGCCAGCATTTGTCACCCTCATGGATAAGATGCAATTCCTGATGTTTAGGAACCATTTTGGTAGGCAGAGAAGCTCCTGGGTGTCTCTGCACTTTCTCCTCAGGTATTTATGGATATTGAGGAGATTTCCTGAGCCTTTTCTTCTCCAGGCTGGGCAATTCCAGCTCCCTCAGCCTCTCTTCATAGGAGATGCTCCAGTCCCTTCATCATCTCTGTGGTTTTTCCTTGGATTTTGTCTCTCACCTAACTGGGGAGCTCCAAACTGGACCCAGTATTCCAGGAATGACCTGTCAGAGCTGAGAAGAGGGAAAAAAATCCCTCCAGAACCTGCTGGCAACACTTGGAAAGCCAGGAAAATCCTAAACCACACATCCCAAGCCACCAGGGCCGATCCAAATATCCAGGCTTTGTTAAAATTACTCCACTCTGCATTAAAGAGGGAGGAAAAACAGCAGGAACGGGGTTAAACCTGCACATCTGGGACTCCTGGCTGCTTTCCTTGAGGTTTTTGTGGAATTTGGGCATCCCACTGACTCAGCTTCCCACTTTAATAGCAGAGAACCCCCAAGTTTACAAATTTATTTAACTTAAGGAACACCAGTTCCCACCCAAACCCTAAACCCTCCTGCAGAAAATCCCAGAGTGCTTTTTTTTTTTTTTTTTTTTTTTTTTTTTTTTTTTTTTTTTTTTTTTTTTTTTTTTTTTTTTTTTTTTTCGATTTTTGCCCCTGGAATTCTGGTCTTTGACCCCAGAACTTGGAAGTGGATGCAAAGATGGGACAGAAAGTGCTAAAAGTGAGGATCTAACACTGAATCCTGTGCAGACTTGGAAGTGGATGCAAAGATGGGACAGAAAGTGCTAAAAGTGAGGATGTAACACTGAATCCTGTGCAGATTTTGCCAAGAGGAGAAAGCAGCAGGAGCCCAGATGTTGCTCCTCTGCTCCCATCCTCCTCCCAGTTTTGTTCTTGGAAAAAAAATCTGTTTTTAAAGCATAGCTTCAGCTCAGGATGTCTGTGATCGGAAATTAGGGATGGTGGGTAAAAGTGACAGTTTGTGCTGGATAAGGGAAGTGCAGGGAATTGAGGTGAGGAAAATGGATCCTGACCTGATTTTCCTCACTCCACAAATCCAGGTGAGGATGTCTTAGGAAAGGTTGTGGTTTCCTGGTAAACCTGTGGATAATTCCTTGTGTTTTGAATTCTGCTGGTCCCCAGCTTTGGAGGGAAAGGATGGCAGGGAAACAAAGATGTGGGGATGCTCCAGCTGCAGAGTACCCAGAGAGGGAAAATTATGGAATGTGGGGAATGAGAACGAATTTGAGCATCAATAACTCCACGTCCAGCTGAGCCCAACGCCCAACCACCACTGGATAAAGCCAGGATTCAACAAACCCAGCCTGTCTTGGATAATTTGACACCAAGAGAGGCGAGAAGAGGCAGCTCAGAGCATCCAGGCTCGGCTGCTTCCAGTTCCATCCTTCTGGGATGATCCAAGCTCCCATTGCTGACGGTGTCACTTGTAAAGTGCCATTTTCCTGCTCTGGTACAGGTACATGTAGGCGTCACAAAAGAGGCGTTTGGCCACCCCATCCATGTCCCGAGGCTGCTCCAGGGCCAGCACAGCCAGGGGCAAGTCCAGGTATTTGGCAACTTCCGGGCACAGCGTCACCGTGGGGATGTTGAAGCCGTTTTCACCACCTAAGGTGGGAAGGAGGAGAAAAATCCCAAACCAGATCCCAAAGGGATGAGTTCCCACAGCTCCAGCAGATGCCAGCACACTCAAGAGTCATGCAGAGCCTCAGCTGGGAGATGTGGAAGCCAAAAGCATTGGAAGAGACTGGATGAGGAGAGATCATTCAACCTAGAGGGGCTCCAGGAGAGCTGGAGAGGGATTTTGGACAAAATGTGGAGGGACAGGACGCAGGGAATGGCCTCCCACTGCCGGAGGGCAGGGATAGATGGGATTTTGGGAAGGAATTCTTCCTTGTGAGGGTGGTGAGGAGCTGGAATGGAATTTCCAGAGGAGCTGCCCCATCACTGGAATTGTCCAAGTCCAGGCTGGATGAGGCTTGGAGCAGCCTGGGATAGTGGAAGGTGCCCATGGCAGAGGGGTTGGAACTGGATGAGTTTTAAGGTCCAATCCAAACCATTCCACGACTCTGCAATAAAAGCACACTGGGGAAGGACAGGAGAAGCAATCCGTGCCCACAGGCTGAGCCAGCTGGGATAAGATCCCAAATCCCTTTTGTTTGACCACAACCAGCAGCTGGAAGCACCTGGAAAAACTCCCACCTGCTTGGCTCGGCCCCTCTGGATTGGATCCTAATGAAAGGAAAGCCAAATCCAGAGAAAGCCTAAATAGGGGAGCTTGAGAGGAAAAGGTGGACTGAGCAGGCCTTGGCAGCTTCCCACATCCCATTCCCACGTCCCATTCCCGTTCCCTCACCGTGCCGGTCGGCCATGCTGTCGAAGAACATCCAGTGCTCGTTGGCAGGGCCGTACTTCACGAAGGACACGTAGTGACTGGTCTCGATGCAGAGCACTGCAAACAGCTCCAGCTTCTCCCGTGGCACCTGCTGGCAGCCCCGGGCGCTCCAGCTCTGGAATTCCTCTGGAATGTGCAGCCTCCTGGGTTTGTGCGCTTTGCGGCGGCGATGGGAGTGAACCTGAGGAGAGGGAGAGGGGACACGGGGGGTGGCATTGGCAGAACTGGCCCTGGCCTGCCAGGAAGTGGGGGCAGAGGTCAGATTCTCAATTGATTCCCTGCTGGTGTGATTCCCCCGTGCTCCCTGCTCGCCTGGGAATGGCGCTGTGGGAGCAGCCTGGCAGCAGGAAGCTGAGATGGGAGCTTGCCACCCTGCAAGAGGCACAAACTGTGGGAATGCTGATGGAGAAGCAGCAGGGAGGGACCAGCACTCGGTTCCCGCAGGGATTACACCTTATTTATGGAACAGGCTGTCCAGGGAAGCTGTGGATGTCCCATCCCTGGAATTGTCCAAGGCCAGGTAGGATAGAGCTTGGAGCAACCTGGGGTAGTGAGCAGCATCCAGGGGGTGGAACTGGAATGAGCTTCAAGATCCTTTCCAAACCAAGTTTTTCCATTATTCCATTATTATTCAGGCTCTGTGTAAGCAGAGTTTTCACCACCTCTGTCTCCCGGTGGGAATGACCCTCAGGAAAGGGCTGAGCAGCTGCAGAGACAGCCAGGGGAACTGTGGGGATTTTGGGAGCTTCCAAGGTGGATTTTGGGAATAGCCATGGAATACCTGTCTGGAGCAGGAGCTGCAGAACTGCTTCAGGCCCCTGGCTGCGAACACCTTGTCCTTGAAGCACTCCGAGCATTCCAGAGTGGCAACATCTCCACACAGGCAGCATTCCCTGGGACCTGCCAGGGAAACAGAGCTCAGAGGGGGAGTTTCTCCTCCAGATCCCACCCAAAATCCAGCTTGTCCTGCCAAAACTGGGACTCCAGGAAGAAGAATGCCACCCCAGAGAACCCAGAGCTGGTTGCTCACAGCCCATTGTCCATCACTCACTGTCCAGCAGCAGATCTGTTATATCCAGCTCCAAAGAAGGGATGATTTTGCTGAACATTTTATATTCCTTCCCAAAACGTGGCATTTGGATAATGAAGCAAGATGGGATCTGGGGAAAAAAAAAAAAAAAAAAAAGTGTGGGGAAAGGAGTCACCCTGCCAGAAGAGCCAAATCCCAGAGATTTTTTTGCTGTCATTATTCACAGGACAAAAGGGAAACAGGAATAGCAGAGGCCTTTTCTTAAGTCATGGATTCAGTGTTGGATATAAAACATCCAAGGCCTCACAGGTATTTTGGGAAGCAAGAAAAGCATGAAAGCAGAAGGAAACTGGACTCACCTCCACCAGCTTCAGATCTGAGGAGAGGAAGGAGCGTTCCACCAACTGCTGTACGTCGGGAACCACCAGATCCTCCTGTTTATCCATAAATATCTGGTAGCAGTAACATTCCTGCTCCTTCTGGCCTCCTGACCTGCAAGGAGAGCTCATGGGATTGGGGACGTGGTGACACAAAAATTGGACTTTTCCCAAAGTTTGTCCTGGGAGAGCTCCCAGGCTCAAGGCACCGAGGGTGGTTTGGTGCAACACAAAGCCCTTTTTCCACCCAAAAATACCAAATCTATGCCAGGGGAGCAGTAGATAAGTAGGAATTTTGGCCTCATTATCCCTTCGGAGCAGCATTCCATTTCCCCTCGATATAAATCCAACAGATAATTTGGTATTAGTAAACGAAGTATTTAAATTGACAAATGGATGCTTCCATGAAGGATTAATTAAAAAACGCATCCAAAAAGCCAAACTCAAGGTGAGTGGCATGCAGATCTCCCACAATCCCTAAAGAAAGCAGGGAAAGGATTTCCTTGGGATGACCCCGTGCAGGGGAGCTGCAGCACAGAGTCCTCTTTGTGCTCGGCCTTTCCCAGCACTCCACGATCCACGGCTCGAGCGGCGGCTCCACAAAGGAGCACAGAAATCCAACAATTCCCTTTCTGTGCTCACAAACAGCACAGTTATTTTTGGCTTCCTCCAGCTTCTCATCCTCTTTGTAGAGTCCCCAAAAAACTGGGACTGCATCCACAGGCTGCCTGTTTTGAGAGGCTGCGGGAGCCGAGCCAGCTTGGCAGCCTGGACACATCCCAAATCCATCCAAAGGCTGTTGGATACCACTGGACCTGCCCTAAAGTTGGGCATCACCTTTCCCAAACCCCTTCTGGCTCTCCCTGAGGAAGGCACAAGGTTTTTATCCCAATTTTCTGAAGGCAGCACCCTCCAGGGAGGAATAAGAAGTGTCTTTTCCCAGATGGGAAGATCACAACAAGCAGGATCAGAGTCTGTTCCTAAGGAGCTGCGGAAAAACTCAGAGCTGTGATTCCAAAAAACTTTGGTAGAAAGGGATAAGTGACCCCCATCCGCCCAGGGATTCTGAGGTGGAGAATTACTGAGCCTGGCCCTGGGAATTGTATCCCTCAGCTGTGGAAACTTACTGGAGTTTCAAAAGTGGCTCAATTCCCAGGATCTGCTGCATTATGAGATTGAGGAACTCCTCAGGATCTGGAAAGGGAGAGGAAAGGATGGAGCAGACCACACCAGGAACTGCCTTCTCCCACTGCATCCAAGGGCTGCCAGGTAAACATGAGCCAGCATTCCAGGGGCCTGGAATTTTCTCTTCAGGTTAGGGGACAATTGGGATAAAGGCCGAGTGTTGCCCTGATTTTTAAAAGCATTAACTTTTCTTTTATAGTTCTTTTGAAAGTTTTAAAGTTTTCATAAAACTTCTTTAGCCTTCTGATAATGTTTACATATTTCTACTAGAGTTCTCACGCACTGTTCATGTAAATAATGATTGTTTTACATTCTTTGTGAGAAGAGAGAATTAACAGACTGTTAGTTTGACCAGTGTGGTTGGAGAGGTGGTAATTTCATCCTCCAATCCACTGTCACTTTTGGAATTCTATATATTGCGAGATCAGAAATAAAATTAGCTCTTTTTCTCTTTTAAACTTACCAAGCTTCTGTGTACTAATTTCCTGTCCAATAACAACAGCTGAGAGCGCATGGCTAAGGCACAAATCCCAAAAGGAACATGAAAAATGCCAAGCAGCCTTCAGAGACTGCATTTCCATGGAATTCCAGGATGGTTTGGGTGGGAAAGGACCTTCAAGGTCACGGAATTACAGCCATTGCCATGGAAAGGAAACCTTCCACTTTGTCACATTGCTCCAAGCCTCACCCAACCTGGACTTGAATAATTCCAGGGATGGGGCAGCCACAGCTTCTCTGGGAATTCTATCCCAGCTCCTCACCACCGTCACAAGGAAGAATTCCTTCCCAAAATCCCATCTAACCCGGCCCTCTGGCAGTGGGAAGCCATTCCCAGTGTCCTGTCCCTCCATCCCTTGTCCCATGTCCCTCTCCAGCTCTCCTAGGCTCTGGAAGAGGCACTGAGGGTACAGAGAGATTTAAAAGCTGAAAGAATTCTACAAGTGAATTTTGACACCAATTAACATCAGCACCTAATTAAAGCACATTCCTGGGAGAAGCAGAAAGGGAAGTTGCCAGCTGGGGCCTGGATGAGACACAACACAGGGAAGCAGGTGGGGAAAGGCCCCAGGGAGCTCCTTACCTTTCTCAGCATTGGTAAAGCTGGAGCACTGGCCCTTGTCCGTGAGCTGCTCCCGGAGGTGCATCACACTGCTGGCCCTGACAAAGCCAGTCCTGGGAACAACAACCAGCTGCAGGTGAGGGAAATCATGGAATGGCTGGGCTTGGAAGGGATCTTCATCCAGTTCAACCCCCTGTCATGGGCAGCGGTGCCACCAACGAGAGCGGGTTGCTCCAAGCCCCATCCAGCCTGGCTTGGGACACTTCCAGGGATGGGGCAGCCACAGCTTCTCTGGGAATTCCATTCCAGCCCCTCACCAATCTCACACAGAAAATTCCTTCCCAATATCCCAATATCCCATCTCAATCCACAGCTCTGTCAGTTTAAAACCATTCCTCCTTGTCCTGAACACCTTTGGATGTGGCTGCCAGGTTTCCCTCGGTGCCAGGCACCACCTTTAAAGCAGCAGGGAAGGAGTGAAGGCAAAATGGGACAAATCCCAGCATTCCCTACACTCACCTACGGAGGGGATTGACAATCTCATCCCGCAGAATTCCCTGGACATTCCTGTCACACAGTGGGAAGGGCATGAAGAGCATGGAGTCCAGCACGGAGGTACAGGAGAAGAGGCTGTGGGAAGAGTGGGATGGGCTTGAGTTTGAGGGCTTGGAAACAACAGCTGGAACCAAAACGTAGTGGCTGGTGATAGTCAATGGCTTTGATGCCCAACAATCCATGCATGGAATCACAGGGAGGTGAGGGAAGCACATCTGCACAGTAAAGCACATCTGGAACAATGAAGACTGGGATAAAGCAAGGGAACAGCTCAGGGAGAAGGAAATTCCTACTTTGCAGCCAAAACTGCTCAGGGAAGGGCACCACTGAGTCTTTTCCTCTCCAAGCAGGGAAGCTGGGACCTCCTGGGTGGGTTCTTTGGAATGATTCCAGCCAGAACTTCCAGGGACAGAGTCAGCACAGTCCAAATCCGGAAAACTACGAGCTCTCAGCAAACCCAAATGACAGACACAGGGGTCTTCAGGGCTGAAAAACCTGCTGGATTTGGGGAGGAGATCAAAAAGCAGCCTGGAGGTTGCACGTCCACACAGTTACATCCTGCTCTGCACCAGGTAAACTTCCAGCCACCTTGGAAATCCAGGGAAGTGCTGCAATTTAGGGCTTAGCTTAATTAAAAAGCCATTCATTTCAGAAACCTGCACCACCCAAGCAGGTCCTTACCTGAAGAGAGCTGCATCCATGTAGCAGGAATTACAGTGGCCTTGGATGCCCTTCATCCGCCCTTGGAGAACACGGACTGCTGCCTCATTCCTGAGGGGAGGAAAACTCTCTGGACCCTCTGGAAGAACTTCTTGTCCTCCTGCAAGAAAAGGAATTGCCTTCACCTTCTCATCTGGGTCAGCTCTGCCCTTCCTTGATACCTCAAAACTCTGAGGTGAGTCTCCAACTGTCAGACCTGAGGTGGCTTCTGATGAATCACAATCTTTCAGACTTGAGGGATATTCCCTAAGGAATCATTTAGGTTGGAAAAGACCTCTAGGATTGAGTCCAGCTGTTAATCCAGCCGAAGATGTGGTGTGGGATAAAGACCAAAAAACCAACGCTCGAAGGAAAGGAAGAAATGCTGCCCAATGTGTTTCCACATCCTTTTCCCAGCACGGTTTTCCTGCTTCCCAGGGGACTCACTGTAATCCCCGAGGGAGAGGTCGGAGCTGGGAAAGCTCTGGAAGCGCACGTCGGGCTGGCAGGAGTTCAGCCTCACGAAGATCCCGCGCTTCGGGGCGCAGTGGAAGTAGGACTTGCCCAGCCACTCTCCAGCTGTGACCCCCTTGTCTTCATCCTGGGAAAACAGCACCGGAGACGAGCCTGAGAGTGGGATTTATGGAATTATGGTTGGAAAAGAGGTCTGAGATCCAGTCTAGCTATGCAATGCTGCTGAGGCCACCAGGAGATTGTGTCCCCAAAGTGCCACATCCACAGGGATGGGGACCTCACCCCTGCCCTGAGCAGCTGTGCTAGGGCTGGACAACCCCATCCATAAAGGAACTTTCCCAATATCCAACCTAAACACCCACTGGAGCAGTTTGAGGCTGTTTCCTGTTGTTCTGTCCCTTGTTCCCTAGGAGCAGAGCCCAATTCCCACCTGGCCCCACCCTCCTGTTAGGGAATTGTAGGGATCCAGGTGGTTCTCCCTGAGCTTCCGTTTCCCCAGGATGAGCCCTCCCAGCTGCTCCAGACCCTTCCCAGCTCCATTCCAGCCCCTCAATACCCTGTACCTGGGGATCCCAAAATTCCACCCTCCATATTCAGCCACTGCCACCAGCACCCCCAGGCCCTTTCCCAGCATTCCAGCCTCACCAGTTCCACTCCAGCCATTTTGTCCTTGATTTGGGGCAGGAAGCCCAGCCAGCGGATGATTCCTGAAACTTGATTCCCTTTGTCCAAGGTAATCTGGACCATGGAATTCACTTCCAAGGGTGAATTCCCACCTTCCCCCTCCTCGCTGCTCTCGCTGATCTCTCGTTTCATTGGGTTTGGTTTCCCAAAGCCCGCGTCGGAGTTGAATGTTGGGAAAAAACCTGATGGGCAACAGGAAACATCAGGAGAGCTGGGAACTGGATCCTCTGGATCGAATTCCAGGTCTAGGTTGGAAATTCCAGGCTACACGCACAAGCAGGAAGCTGAGCACCAGGGACACAAGGTGTAATTCCCAGTGTGTCCAAGCTAGTCTGACGGGATGACAGGGAATGATCCTGCTCCTTCTTTCCCTGCTCAAAGCTTCACATTCCAATCTCCTGCCCTTCCCAGGCTACCGGAGTGGCAGCAGGGGGGTTATTTCCTAATTTTTCTACTAATTCCTTGCCTTGTCTAACAATTCCCACCATTGCTGCTGGCACCTGAGACTTTCCCACCAGGATGAAGCTCCTCCTCCATCTTTTACAGCTGAATTAAAGACTTTTTAACCAGTGGTGCCTTTTCCCTGAGGGAATTCTCTGCTACCATCAGCCTCTCCTTCCTGACAAACGGGATTCAGCTTTAGGTTTGTGTGGAACTTGATATTTTTCCATAAATCCCAGTCCATTAAGACAAGCTGTAGGTTTCTATTGGAATTTCAGCTCCTCAGTACCCTGCAGAGACGAAATAAATTCCAAATTCCCTCAGGACGGGATCAGGGGAGACACATCCAAACATCACCTACTTTGCAAGCTCTCCTTCACAACAGATTCCATGGGGATTTCCCTGAAAATGTCAGTCGTTCCTTCTTCTTCCTGAAAGAAGCGAAAAAAATCCATCAGCTAGGGAAAAAGCCATCAGCTCAACCCTGGAATATGAAGGATTTTTTTAAAAGAAGCCAGGAAAGTTTGCACAGAACCTCACGTCCCTTTTGGATATTCCTTCTTTTTCACATCCAACCATAATGTGATTTTTTTTTTCCCCTCTTTAAAATCCCAAGAAAACCCCATGGAAAAGCTGCTCTTACCGGGCAAACCTTCACGAACCACTGGCTCCCTTCCCTGTAAACTGCCATGGCAATTCCTTTGGTGGGGATCTCATCCACGAGGAAGCTGACGGCATCTCCCACTTTCACGGGAACCACCTCCTCCGTGTCCTGCTTTCCCGGCTTCTGCTTCCCATAATCGTTGCCTGATGTGGGAATAAACTGGATTTTGCTGAAGGGCAGGAAGACCCCACAGTTCCTCTTGCACTTGAAGTACTCGGTGCCGTGGTAGGACCCGTCGCTTCTCCCTCTGTTTTCCCCCTCTCCCTGAAAACACACCAGGAAGGGACATCACACACAGAAATTCCATGGAAAAACGAGGAATTCGCCGCTTTGGGGCCCTCCTTACCTGCAATTCCACCCCGAAAAACACCGGAGTCAGCACAGCCAAGCTGGGCTTGTAGATGCTCCCGACGTAGCGCACGACTCCCGGGAAAAATTCCCTCTCCACCTCCACCATGACGTTTTGACCCGGCACGGCTCGGAGAGCTCCTTCCAGGCTCAGCCTCTCCAGGAAAAATTCCAAGCGCTCGCTGTGGCTCCCGATGGCCAGGAGGAATCTGGCAGCCTCCTGGTGCAGGGGCTGCAGGATTTCCAGGTTGATGGTGACCGTGGAGCTGTCGTCCAGCATGACGACCTTCAGGAAGCAAGCTGGAGGCCCATCCTCGGAAAAATTCCGCAGGTAGCTCCTCTCGCTGCAGAAGCACAAATTCCCAGCTTGGAAGTATTTGCTTCCATAGGCACAGTCCTCTGTCAGGATGTAGAAACAATTCCTGTCCGCTGCTGGAGGCGGGAGGTTGGACATGGCAGATTCCCCTGGGTTGGGAGAGCCACAGAAATGGAGATTTGTGAGCGCTGGAGAAGAATTCCCAGAAAATCCAGGGTTGGAAGAGGTTTTGGATCCAACCCCGCGCTCAAAGCCTCGCCCAGCTGAGTTTGAGCGACTCCCAAATCTTCCCTGCTCCCCTTTTTCCAGGTGTTTAATCACCCTGGTGGTGATTCAAAATTCCATCTAATTCCCACATTCCTGCTCAACCCTGCATTTCCACAGGAAAAGTCCAGCTCTGCTTTCTCCACTAAACCCTCCCGGGATGAGGTTGTACAGGAAAAAAAAAAGATGGAATGGTTTGGGTTGGGAGGAACCTTAAAGATCATCTCATTCCCCTATCCCAGGTTTCTCCAAGCTCCATCCAGCCACACCTGGAATAATTCCAGGGATGGAGAGGCTGCTCCATCCAACCACACCTGGAATAATTCCAGGGATGG